CTGGGTGCAGCGCCAGGAGTGATGGCCCAGTGCTTGCCTGGCGGCGCGGCTGGAGCTGCCCGTGCATGCAGCCCTGCCCACAGCCACCCTGTGCCAGGCCATCTGCGCCCCACTGCTGCCCAGCGCACCTCAACCATCTTGGTTGCCTCCTGCTGCGAGTCGTGTGAGGGAGCGGCGTGTACGTTCTCATCCACCTCGATGGGCAGGGCCAGCAGGCCGCGGTTGGGCGCCTGCGCCTGCACCTGCGGCAGCCAAGGCATGCGGGACGGCACGACAACATGTCTGGGCGCCGCCTCGCCAGCGCCTTTCTGCCAAGCCCGCTAGAAGCCGGCAGCAACCCTGCAGCCAGCCCCTGCTCACCAGTCGATTCCAGGCGGCGCTCCTCGTCTGGTGGCACACCCTCCCCGGGCACGAGCACCTGCAGCAGTGGGGGTGGCACCGCTCTTGGCAGCGGCGGCGCTGAGCAGGCGGCGCCCACAGCGGGCTGCAAGCACGCCCCGCACCTCCACGCCAAGCCCCGCACACAGTCCCGCCACCAGGCGTGAGAACTCGGCAGCGCCTGTGTCCAGACCAGTCGCACGCCTAAACAGCGTCATCATCCGCTCCGACTCACGCGCTGCAGCAGGAACAAGAGCCTGCGGCTATCGTGGCATGGGTCGGCAGCGGGCGGCGGGGCAGGCGGCGGGGCGGCGTAGCATGCTCAGGCTGGTCAGCCGCTGCCTTGGCCCTCCAGCGGGCGCACTTGCGCATCTGCCTTGCCAGCCAGACGATATGGAAGCGCTTGGCATCGTCACTCAAGCTGGGCGAGTCCATCGCCACCTGAAGGCGGATCTGGACTGCAGCGGCGCGGTTCTGTGTTGCCGGCATGCTGAAGGCGTGGGACGAGGCCGCGAGCCACGTGAAGTGGCGCCGCCGCGGCGAATTTTATTGGACCGGTCTGAGCAAGATCACTTTCGCTGTGCTCAATTCCAGCTCAAATCCCCCACCCCCACGCCCTCAGCAGCCTCCGTTCAGTCCTGGCATCTCAGCCACTCCTTTGGACGAGGCTCAGCAGCGCTGTACGCCTGCTCGGCGCGGCCGCCCCCACAGCCTGCCTTCAGGGCCAAGCAAGAGCCCTCACGCGCGTCAGAGCGCCGCAATGGTGATCACGGAGCAGCTCAGGCAGCGCGGCCATGTGCAGAGGGGGCGGCGGCGGCAGGCGGGCTGCCGCCGAGCGCTTGCAAACGTTGCGCACCGGAGGCGCTGCACCAATGTGCTCCCTGCTGCCGCTGCCTGCAGCTGGAAAACGGCGCCGAGGTCTACCCCCGTGGCAATGCCCACCAGACCGCTCCTGCCATGGGCGAGTTCCCGCTGCCCTGTTGTTGCGGGTGCTGCCGCCAGATTGTTGCTGCTCCCCTTGATGCTGCCCCTGTTGCCCATGCCTTGCGCACCCTACCACACAGCCACCCTGCTCCGACCCTCTTGCAACCCCCGCCCTGGTTCCAGTCCTTGTCTCGCCCACCGCAGGCGGCGCCGACCCCAAAGAGCGATCGCTCGCCGCCATCCGCAGCACCGCCGCCGCCACCACCTACATGGATGGCGCCTCGCCTGCGCCCGGCCTGGCTTTGGGCGACGAGACGGTGCTGATCCTGGGAGACAAGGTGATGCTGTCTGTCAGGGATCATCCCCCCCGACGCCTCCTTTGAGCAGGCGCTGGCAGCGGGGACGGCCGAGGCGAAGCGCGTGCGCTGCGTCTACGGCGAGTGCCGCATCACGGCATGCCTGGTGCAGCCGGGCATCGATTTTTGCACCACGATTGGCCAGCTGGCCGCCTTCAGCTCTGACTACGGCTTCGGCAGCATGGGCTCACCGCTGACGCTGTGCCTGTCCAGCCCACGCATCAGCAGCGGCGAGTGGACCGCCGCGGCGGCAGAGGCGCTGCTGCAGGGACAGGAGGTGGCAGTGGTGCTGGGCCCGGAGCTGCTTGCCAATGGCCTCCCGGCCGGCACTCGCTGGACTCCCGGCGGCGGCTGCTTCTTCCACCCTGGCCTAGTGGTGGGCGACAGGGCGGAGGCGGCGGCGGCACGGGCGGCGGCGGGGGAGGCCGCAGGGGAGGCGGCGGGGCCCTCTGGTAGCGGTGGCGGCGGGTCGGCCTAGTGAGGCGGGCGGCAACGTTATATCCTGCATGCATGCCTTGCCTACGCACTTGCCTGCTGCACCTACCAGATGTGCCTGTCTAGTAATGTGACATAGGTTCCGCCTGCGGCACACGTGGATTGTGAGCAAGTGGTGCGTGTGCTCTGTGGGTAGTTGAAGATAGGGCAGGAGGGAAAGCGGGGGGCGCCAGCCCAATGACTGTCAGAAAGTTGCAGGGGAAACAGAGGCAAACCGTGGGGCTGACTGACTGACTGACTGGGATTACAGAGAACCGGGCTCTTCGAGGGGCTGGGGACACACAAGCCGTGCCTACTAGCTCTGGACAATATAATCATGAAACCAACCAACAGATCTGGTCTAGACAGGGCGGCGGAGCGCGGGGCTGCGAGGAGCCGATCGGGCACAACGGGCGGCAGGGAAAGTGGAGGGTGCCACAGGCAGTGCCTGGGAGCCAGCCCAGTGACTGTCAGAGAGGTGTGAGGAGGGGAAACGGGGGGTAAAAGACAGGGGAAAGAGGGGGATTAAGGGCCAGGACCGCCAGCAGGTGGCGCAAGCGGCTCAGAGACGTCACGTGGCACCCACCCCAGCACAGAAGCTGGGGGAGCGGCCAGGCGGACGGGCGGGAACCGCCTCAGAGGGCAGGCGGCACAGGGGGTCAAGGCTCAGGTCAGATCACACGGGAGAGGGGGGCAGCCAGCTGCCAACGAGGAGAGGGTAGAAAGGGGGATGTCAGAGAAAGCACACCGAGCGGCAGCGCAACAGGTACATCAGTGCACGATCGCACCCGCCACCTCCCCCACCATCGCCGCAAGCACAACGGGCCACCCATCCCGCCCTCCCTCCTGCTGCTCCCCCACCCGCCACCTCCCCTGCACCAGCGCTCCCCGCGCATGCGAGCGCCACCACACACACCTCCCCAGCCCCACCTGCCAGCGTGACTGTCGCCGCCGACCCCAGCAACAACCAACCAGATGTCACTACCCTGGCAGCCCGCCTGGGCAGCTCCATCACACCGGCAGAAGTGGCAGCCTTCCAAAGGCGAGTCGCCAGCCAGGCCAAGCCGCGCAAGGCAGTTGCCGGCGAGCTGCCACCTTCCAATTGGTTCCTCAAGGCGGCAGCGGAGCAGCTGGCCCCTATGCTGGCCGCCGTCTACACAGCATGGCGGCGGGTAAGGCAGCCTGCTGAGCTGGCCACCCGTGATGCGCTCAGCATTATAGCACCCATCCTCAAGCCCGGCGGCGACCCCACCAGCTGCAGCAGCTTGCGCGGCATTGCCATCGGCACCATGGCAGCCAAGCTGTACGCCGCCATCCTGGAGCAGCGCATCTCAGACTGGGCAGAGGCCAGCAACTTCAGGGCGGCAGGGCAGTTTGGCTTCAGGCGCCAGCGCGGCACAGCGCAAGCGGCACTCGTGCTGCGAGCACTCAAGGACCAGCACCGCCTCAGAAGCCAGCATCTGTGGGGCTGCTTCGTCAAGCAAGCACTCATGTGTGACAGCCACCCCGCTATGATAGGCCGCGTGAGCAGACCTTGGGCAGGGGGCACACGTGATCAAGGGGCATCAAGAGAGGGGGGTGGCCATGGAGCACCCTCTCCATGGCTCCGACCACCCTCCCCCTAGCTGAGCGTCCCAGGGTCATCCCACCCTGGCCCCGCTCCCCGTCCTGCCGGACACGCAACCCCCACAACGTGGTGGGGGACGTGGGGATCCTTAGCAGCTTAGGCCTGCCAGGCCGACGGGTGCCGATGCTGGTGCGGGCACTCAAATGGCATGGGGCACACGGGCCCCCATGCCCGCACATCTCCCAGGCACATGAAAATACCAGAAGGCGGCACATGTAAGGGTGCATGCATTGCAGGCAGGAGTGCAAAGTGGACTGCCGCGGCGGTCGGCTGTGCCATTCCTCAGTCAGCCGCCGCTACCGTGCCGGGCTTGGCGTTCCCATGCCAACATGCCGGCGTGCCATCGCGCAAGGGGCCAGTGAGTGTGTGAGGTGGAGGTGGGGGTGGTGGGGCTGCCGCTGACCGCTGCTTGCTGACGCTGACGCTGCTCTTACCTGCGGGGGGAGGAGCAAGCATACGACCGCGTGCCTAGGGACCAGCTCTGGCAGAAGCTGGCGGCGCGCGGCGTCAACACAGCCTGCCAGTGGCTTGTGGCAGCACAAGCGCTGTACAACAACGTCTCCATGTCGGTACCTGTGCGAACCTCGGCCGGGCTGTCGCCCTGCTTCCAGGCCGTGACAGGCTTGAAGCAGGGCTGCCCCCTCAGCCCCACTCTCTTTGGCCTCTACATCGACGACCTGGAGGAGGAGCTGATGGTGGCGGCGCAACGTGGCGACTCGCCACTGGCAGCTCGGAGCAGCTGGACCTCAAGAGCTTCCTCGGCAGCGGCGGCGCCGCGGTGCCGCCGCTGCTGTACGCCGACGACATGGTCCTGTTGGCCACCTCAGCGGCAGGGCTGCAGCGACAACTGGACCTAATCCAGCAGTACTGCCGGCAGTGGGGCCTAACCGACAACATCGACAAGACCAAGCTCATGCTGCTCAATGGGCGCCGCACCCAGCACGGCCAGGAGCCAGGAGCCAGGAGCCAGGAGCCAGGAGCCAGGCCGGGAGGCCGCGCGGCGGCGCCACCCCCGCCGCAAACGTCGGCGTCTCCTCGGGCGGCTGCAGCCAGCAGGCCATGCCGTGCAACGCGGCCAGCTGGATCCCCGCCGCGGCGCGCAGGCAGTCTGCCAGGTCCGATCTGTCCCCGGCGCGCGCCGCCGGCGCCGGGCCGCGCGCGGCGGCGGCCAGCCCCGCCAGCAGCGCCGCCCGCCCCGCGCCCAGCACCAGGCGCAGCCCGCCCTGGGCCACGCTGTAGGTGACGTGGCGGGGCAGCGCCGGCGCGCGGCCCAGCATGGCGCAGCCGTGGACGGCGTAGCATGCAGCACCCAGTTGGGTCTCGTGGTCAGGACCCATGCCGCCGCCCAGGCCCATCAGCGCAGCGTTGAGCTGCGCGAGGGCCTCGGACAGCTCAGCCATCTTGCTGCACCGCAACGGTGGGACCACAGCCGCCACTGTTAGGCGGCTCAGTGCCGACGTGCTGCTGCAAGGCGGGGGCTGGGGCGCAGGCGCCGCCGCGCACCCGGCAAGCTCGCCGGCGCCGGACAGGGAGCCGCCCGTGGCGCGGAACTGGATGCAGGCGTCATAGAACGCGAGCGCCCGCAGCTGCACGTCCGCCGCCGCAGCGTGGTCGGCAGCTGGGGTGGCGAAAGCCGCGCACAGGCCCTCGAGGTGGTGCGACAACGCGGTCTCCATGCTGATCGGCCTTCCAGGGTTTGCGCCGTGGAGGTCACCCAGCTCATCCGTTTCGGGATCCGCCAGCCTGGTGCCAGCTGGCGGGACGGCAGCGCAAGGATGACATGCATGCACAGCAGGGGTGGTGGGGATGTGCTACCGCCACCATGCTGTACAGAGTACAGGATGGTCTTACATATCACAAAGGTGTTTGAATGACAAATGCTTTATGTATAGATTTAGAGATTCTTATAAGAATTACGAATACGCCCAGGCGGCGCCGCCTCCCACGGCCCGCCCTGCCGCCGCCTACAGCTGGAAAACGGCGCCGAGGTCTACCCCCGCGGCAAGGCCCTCAAGAGCGCTGCTGACATAGGCGAGTTGCCCCGGCCCTGCTGTTGCGGGTGCTGCCGCCATGTTGTTGCTGCTGCCCCGACGCAGCCCATGTTGCCCATGCCTTCCCGCTTGCCGCCTTGCTGCCCTGCTGCTGCCTTGTTGCTGCCCAAGTGTTGCTGTGTTGGCTTGTGGGCCTACACCACACAGCCACCCTGCCCCGAGCCACCCCGCCCTGGATCGAATCCCCATCACCACACACCGAATGCGGCGCGGACCCAAGGGACCGCTCGCTCTCCGCCATCCGCAGCACCGCTGCGCCACCACCAACATGCATGGCGCCTTGCCTGCGCCACGCCTGGCGCGCCTCGCCTGCGCCAGACCTAGCGGTGGGCGACGAGACGGTGCTGACCCTGGGAGGCGAGGTGATGCTGTTTGGTATCATCCCCCCCGTCGGCCGACGCCCCCTCGCTTGGGCAGGCGCTGGCAACGGGGGCGGCAGCAAGCAGAGCGCGTGCGCAGCGCCCACGGCGAGTGCCGCATCACGGCATGGTGCAGCAGGGCATGGTGCAGCAGGGCATCGACTTTTGCACAACGGTTGGCACAGTGAAGGCGGCAACGGGCGGTTTGATGGCGGCGGCGGAGGGGCAGGACGATGATGCACGGGAACGGCAGCCGGCATGCGCTAGAGTGGCGGGTGACAGGGAGGAGGCGGCGGGCGGCAGTGTTTTTTCATGGCCTGCCTATGCCTACCTACCAGATGTGCGTCTAATAAAGAGAAGAAAATATGGCAGCGGGGGAAGCAGCCTGATAATACAGTTGCAAGCTCCCCTAAGCTTCCCCGCCTGACCGCTTGACTTACTGCGGAGTGTAGCAGGCAAAAAAACCACGTGTCCCATCTCAGGATCGAACTGAGGACCTTATGCGTGTGAAGGAGGGCAAACGGGGGGCAAAATACAGAGGAAAGTGGGGATCAAGGGCCAGGACCGCCAGCAGGCGGCGCAAGCAGCTCAGAGACGCCACGTGGCACCCACCCCGGCACAGAAGCTGGGGGAGCGGCCAGGCGGGCAGGCAGGCGGGAATCGCCTCAGAGGGCAGGCGACACGGGGGCGCAAGGCTCAGGTCAGATCACGGGATAAGGGGCACCCAGCTGTCAACGAGGAGAGGGGAGAAAGAGGGATGCCAGAGAAAGCACACCGAGCGCCAGCGCGGCAGGCACGTGCCCAGGCGCAGGCCTGCAGGCGCTGCAGCATACCGCCGGCTTGTCCCCGATGGCGTGACTGCGGAAAAGCGCAACCACTGGTTCCTCGCACACGTCGCAGGCGCACTAGCCAGCCAAAGGGTACCACAGCTAGCGCTAGGCAGCAACGGACAGCGCATGGGCAATCAGATGCAAGCCGGCACAGCAGGCGAGCAGCGCAGCACTAAGGCGGCAGGCACAAGGCAGGCACGCGGAAGATGCTGAAGCAGGAGGACGGGCATGAGAAAAGGTGTGAGGAGGGAACAGTCAGGAGAAAGGTGGGCGAGGGTCAGGCGGGGCCGACAGACGATCAAGCAGGGGGAGCTGAATGCGGCCGCCGGCAGAGAAGAAAAAGGGGTGGGCTGGGCCGCGGCTGCCAACCCAGGAGGCGGGGGCACAGCTCAGGGCCTCGAAATCAGCAAGAAGGGACCAGAAGGAGCGGAACGACGCGCGGCGGGCAGCCTCCAGCGGCATGGTTGCGGGCTGCGGGGCCAGGGGCCAGGGGCAGCCGGCTCCAGCGGTGGCCACCCCATAGGGGCGGCGGGTCCTCAGCGCCATCGCTGGAGGAGGCTGCGCCGGCAGCAGGCGCGCCTCGCGCGGTCCGGCAGGCCGGCTGGTGCAGGAAGCCGTCGAGTGTGAGCTGGGTGAAGCGCGGTCCGGCAGGCTGAGCTGGCGTGGCGCCACGGCAGCGCAGCACCTCGGCCGCCAGGCTGCGATCCATGGCCTCCGGATCCACAGCGGCCAAGCTCACCACACCCCAGGCCTGCAAGCGCCAGGCGCCAGCGTGCACGCCGGGTAGGGGGCGGGCAAGCCGGATGCCGGCGGGACACGGCGAGGGGGAGGGGCCCCAAGGCGAGGGGGAGGGGCCCGGGCATCAGTTGGAGCAGCGGCAGTCAACGACAGCGCAGGCCCCAAGGCAGCTCCGGCGGTGGCGGTCAGGACGGACTGACTGCTGGACCTGCAGCAGCCAGCACCTGTTGACCTCGGCGAGCTGGGGGAAGCTGCGCAGCGCCGCCAGCTGGCGCAGCTCCAGGAGGCGCTGGCGAAGGGCGGCGCCAGCCGGCTGGAGCACTATGTGCACAACGTGGTGGGCGCCCTCAACCTGGCGCCCGCCATGTTTGGGCAGCGCGAGACCTACCTGGATGCAGTACGGCGTCGGCAGGACCGCGAGGCGCTGGCGCAGCTGCGCACCGGGTCGCATTGGGGCGCGGAAGAGACCGGCCGCTGGACGCGGCGCCCCCGAGAGCAGCGAGTCTGCCCCCACTGCCACGACGGCATTGAAGATGCCCCCCACATGCTGCTCACCTGCCCCCTTTACGCCCCGCTGCGCCTCAACTTTCCTGACCTGTTTGCTGAGCCCCATCCTCCCCACCGCTTCCTCCGCCAGAAACCGTGCCGCCTCGCCGCCTTTGCTGCCGCCTGTCACCAGCGCTGGCTGACCGCCACCGTTGCGCTGCCTGCAGTCCCGCCCTGAACCCCCACTCTCATGTCCACCCCCTTTGCTCTCACCGCACCACACCTGCTCCACGACATGCAGTACTGTCTGCCCGCTCACACACTAAACGCTCGGTGACCTGTCAGTTGGCCTGTCCTGCCTGTTGTTCTACTGCTTCATCCCTCCTTGCTCGAACAACAAAGTCTGTGCTGCAAGCTTGTTCTTGCTGAAACCAGACTGTAAGCCCAAACAAGTCAAGACTGCGATACATAGAACCGGGCCCCTTAAAGGGTTGGGGCACGTGTGCATACAAGCCGTGCCCACTAGCTCTGGACAATACGAGTCTGAAACCAACCAGGCAATGCCCATTAAGCAACCGTATTCCGCGGGGGAGCCCCCTACTTGCTGGGCAAGCATGGGCAGATCTCTAGAGGGCAGCAACCGACGCCAGCTGCGCGTTGAACGGAGGCATTATGTGGAGCGCATGACTCCAGCGGACACATATATATTGCTGCACTGCGCACCCATAAATGCAAGCCATGATACGCCGTGCGTAAGATCCACAACGCTCCGCGGCTAAGAGAGGCCTTCTTTGAAGGCGCTGGAGCTAGTGTCTAAACCCTCCCAGAGGGCACAGGTTCGATTCCTCCCATGGAGAACCTTTGTGAAGACCGCGGCATAGCTGACCGATCCGCGGCATAGCTGACTGATCTAAGCCGCTAAGTTTCGACCTCCTACTGGGCGTACTGCACTTGCCCTCGTCGGGCAGATCAAACAATGGTCTAAAGCTAGACGTTAAGCCTGGCTCTTCCCCGTTGCACCCGCAACCGTCTAACACTATCATGCACGCTCAGGCCTCGGAAACGCAACTCGTTGAACATGTGTGGTGCAAAAAGGCGGCGCGGGTCCAGAAGGTTCCGGCCGGCCTGTTTTGTCTTTGTGTGAGAGCGGGGAGCCTCGTGAGAGCGCTGGGGTGACTGCCGAGCGCTGGTCGCAGCGGCAGGATCCTTCTCCTTCGGGCGGGGCGGGGGCGGCGGGCGCCTGTTATTACACAGGGGCACTCCACCACAAAGGGAGAGAAAAGATGATCTTGTCAGGGCATCGAGGCTCCTTATATAGTCTGGCTGCTAGCCAGCTGTCGGCAAAAAACCGAACGGGCGAGGGAAAATCTGTGACAGGTGGGTGAAAAGTCAGTCTGCTGATATGAAAATATCTGCAGGCTGTTCGAATATCCGCGGGCGCGCTTTGATTGATTCGATCGTTCGAAAAGTAAAATTTGTGCGTTGGGAATTGGGAACTGGGGTGGCAGGGGAGCTGTTCTGCTGTCACAACATGGGGCAGCGGCTAAGAGGCTGCCTATATGCTGGCAGCATTCACCCAGCAAGGTGAATGCTGCCAGCCAACAGCTAGCGATACCCTTCTCAGCAAATTGCGACCCGACATACTCCATTGTGTTACAGTCACCTCGCTATGATAGGCCGCGTGAGCAGACCTTGGGCAGGGGGCACACGTGATCAAGGCGCATCAAGAGAGGGGGTGGACCATGGAGCTCCCTCTCCATAGCTCCGGCCACCCTCCCCCTAGCTGAGCGTCCCAGAGTCACCCCACCCTGGACCCGCTCCCCGTCCTGCCGGACACGCACCCCCCACAACGTGGTGGGGGACGTGGGGACCCTTAGCAGCTTAGGCCTGCCAGGCCAACGGTTGGCCTAGGCCTGTTGGTTGGGTTCATGATCATATTGCCCGGCTTGTGTGTCCATTAATGGGCCCGGTTCTCTGCAATCTCAGTCGATCAGTCAGTCAGTTGCGACGTCATTATTAACGTCGACGTTAAATAACGAGCTGGATGAGTCCCTGTGGGTGATACCAACAGGCACGAGTTCGAACCCCAGCCGGGACACTAGCTCTGACTTTGCCTCACGGCACCTTCGTGGCGGCATCTGGGCGGCGGACGGCAGCCCGGCATGGAACTTGCAAGATGGAGCCTCCCCGGGATGCCATCGACGGCCAGATTCTCCTCGCTCTGGACAGCCGGCAGGGTTAGCGGGTTCGGCCCCACCACATCTGCCCCACATCGGCAAACGGGGGGCAAAATACAGAGGAAAGTGGGGATCAAGGGCCATGACCGCCAGCAGGCGGCGCAAGCGGCTCAGAGACGCCACCCACCCCGGCACAGAAGCTGTGGGAGCGGCCAGGCGGGCGGGCGGGGACCGCCTCAGAGGGCAGGCGACGCAGGGGGCCAAGGCTCAGGTCAGATGACACGGGAGAAGGGGGCAGCCAGCTGCCAACGGGAGAGGGGAGAAAGGGGGACGCCAGGGAAAGCACACCGAGCGGCAGCGCGGCAGGCACAGCAGCGCACGAGCAAGCACAGCCGCACAGGCGCTGCAGCACACTACCGGCGGGTCCCGATGGCGTGACTGCGGAAAAGCGCAACCACCTCCACTGGTTCCTAGCACACCTCGCACGGCGCAATAGCCAGCCAAGGGGCACCACAACCAGGAAGCAGCCGACAGCGCACGGGCAACCAGATGCAAGCCGGCACAGCAGGCGAGCAGCGCGGCAGCAAGGCGGCGGGCACAGGGCAGGCAGGCAGAAGATGCGCAAGAGGGAAGACGGACACGAGATAAGGGGTGAGGAGGGCACAGTCAGGAGAAAGGCGGGGAAGGGTCAGCGGGGCTGACTGACGATCAAGCAGGGGGAGGAACAGGAGGGGGGCGGAGCTGAACGCGGCCGCCGGCAGAGAGAAGAAGGGATGGGTTGGGCCAAGGTTGTCAACCCAAGAGGCGGGGGAACAGCCCAGGGCCTCAAAATCAGCGAGAAGGGACCAGAAGGAGTGAAGAGCCACGCGGCGGGCAGCCTCCAACGGTGTGGCCGCGGGCTGCGGGGCTGCGGGGCCTGCAGGCGCGGCCGGCTCCAGCAGCGGGGGCGGCGGGTCCTGAGTGCCGCCACCGGAGGAGGCTGCGCCAGCAGCAGGCTGCGAGGCCGGCTGGTGCAGGAAGCCGTCGAGGGTGAGCTGGGTGAAGCGCGGCCCGGCGGGCTGCGCTGGCGGGGCGCCACGGCGGCGCAGCACCTCGGCCGCTAGGCAGCGGCGGCCCCGGTCCATGGCCTCCACAGCGGCCAGGCACACCACACCCCAGGCGCCAGCGCGCACGCCAGGCGGGGGGCGGGCAAGCCAGATGTCGGCGGGGACAAGGGGAGGGGGAGGGGCATCAGCTGGGGCAGCGGCAGTCAGGGCCGCATGGACAGCGGCAACAACAGCGCAGGCCACAGGGCAGGCCCAGAAGTGGTGGTGGCGGTCAGGGCGGGGGCCAGAGGCACCACACAGGCAGGGCTCATCCCGGTGCATGTGGGCCGCCGTGGGCAAGGCATCGTATACCAGCCTCCAGAACACCTCCTTCCTGCCATTCTCCCAAGGCAGGCGCCACAGCCGGGCCAAGGCCGACTGCAGCTCGGCCAGGGGGCCAGCGGCGGGGGAGGGAGCAGCCGCGGCGGCGGCGGCAAAGGGGGCAAGGCGGGTGGCGGCGCGGTGCTCAACCGCAGGGGCAGCCAGGAGGGCCGTTGCGGCGCGCACGGTCAGAGCCGCAAGGGGGACAGGGCGGCCATCAGAGCGGCGCCAGCCCAGGCGCGGTGCCTGAGGGTGCCGGCAAGAACAGCGCGGGGACACGGCGACTGCCCCAGGCCAGCGGCGGCAGCGGAGGCAGCGGCGCGCGCCGCCGCCACCCAGGGCAGGGGCAGGGCAGCTAGCAGCTGTGCCACCCGCTCCAGCGCCACATGCCGCTCAACGAAGGCGTAGGAGGAGCGGAGGAGGGGGCCGCGCACGTCGGCGGTGTAGGCCGCCTGGGTCGGCGCCGCCAGCGCGGCTCGCTCCACCTCAAGCAAGCGGCGCAGGCAGTGCATCCCTGCACCCAGAAAGTCAGCAAAGGAGGAATCCAGGCCGGCAGGGTGCGAGGGGGAGAGGAGCAGCGGGTTGCCCCAGAGCGGGAGGGAGAGGCACCACGGCCCAGGCGCAAGCGGCTCCGCAGCCACGTCAGTGGGCGCAGGCAGCGAGGCGAGGGCGGCGCGGAGGCGAAGGAGGGGAGGGGGAAGAGGGGCAAGGGAGCCAGGCACGGGCTGGTCAAGGGGCCAGAAGAGGAGCCCAGCGGGGGGCAGGCCACCAAGAAGCTCACACGCAATGGCAACCCAGGGAGGCGCCGGCAGGGCGGCAGGCGAGGGGGCAGGTGGGGGTGGGGCGGCGGCCAAAGAGGGTGGCAGGGGGCCAGGAAGGA